CTCATTATTATTACCCGAAATTGAGTGGATATTTGAAATGGGACTATAACAAATAAAGAAGCATCATACATGATTTGACTTATGCAAAGTTATATAATAAAAAAAAATAGAAAAAGGAACAAAAATAAAAGACATGAAAAGCAACATGTCTGGTTGGCCGTTGAACCGGAGATATGACAAAGAAAAGGATCAGACAATCCTTCTATCATTCATCCAACTTAGTCCCTCTTTTACTATACATAATTATTTTCAAAAATTCAAAAATATTTTTTTCTTTTTGATAAAACCTCCCACTAGTTTTCTTATCTGCTTAACCAAGTCAGAAACTCAGGACATGTTTTCCACGCTTTTATACCAAATAATACTTATAATACGACAACAACTTGGTTTCCTGAATTTTTTTTTTTAATACAGTATATGTTAACCAAATGGTTCTGCAAAATCTAATACATTACTAAAACAAATGAACAAAACACAAAACATAATAATTGACATTTTGTAGCACATAATACCAAATTAGATAAAATAAAAAAGTAATAAATTAACGGATCATTAAACCATAACTAAGTTAATTTTTAATTCGCAGCATGCTTAACTTTTCTCCTTAGCTATACTATTTTATAAAGGTAACCGAACAAAATAATACTCCGTGATGTGGGGGCTGAATCGGAATTAGATACTCTCTATCATACCAAATCATTGAAGGGACCTACATGTCTGGAGCTGACACGTGTCGGACCTAACAGACAATGATACTGTTTTCAAGTTTCGTAATTGGCTCTCTCTCTCTCTCTTTCTGTGTCGTGTGGATAAGTCTGTGAGAGATCGCATAAGGGATGGTGCCTAAGAGTTGATGACATGAGAACCACCACTTTAATTTCTCTCTTTTTATTATCTTTTCTTCCTCTAATATTTTTTCTTCATCTATATTCCAATTTTCTTATTAATACTTTTTTGTTCACCGCACCAATTAATGGACTTTAGCAACAAACGTATGTATTTAAGTTTCTTTAAAAAATTTCTTATTGTTGTGGTTGTGGATGAGGTTTGTTTTGTTTTTATCGTTTGGGTTTGATTAGTCTAAACCTAATTTTAAAATTGTCTTCCAATCATCTAAACCATCTAAAAAGGTCTTACGAATTGGGGTCACACCGTTATTTAAATTATTATTTTCTTATGTATCAATTCTTTATTTTATAATATGACATCTTTTTACCTTTTGTCTTTATTCTTCCCTTCTTTTTCACACACTTTTTATTGGTTTAATTTCCCCCACCATTTTTCAGAAGTCAATGTTTATCGATATTCCTGTCATTATTTTTTAAATCGTGTTATTAATGACTTAATGCCGACATATATAAATTCTCATTTTTTTTAGAAAAAAAAGCTGGTGTCTACATATTATATATGTGTACTAGTGTATATATAACATTTCATTTATCATTTTGCATACTCAGCAAACATGTTTAATAATATCTTTGCGACAGTTTTACAAACATAATTTGTCTTGATTAAAAGATAATAAAAAATTTCTGACCATTTCACAAATCTCGGTCTCTTATTAAACTCCAAATTAATATTTTGGTGGAAATACTTCATATCACAAAATTTAACGTTTTACAAATTTAAACTGACTTTTCAAAAAAACTATGACTATTTAAATGATAACTTATTATGGTATAGTAGTAACAAACAGTATTAAAATTATTGGTATATTGACATACTACCATGTTTTTATATTAAAAATATGATACCATGTGTATAAGAAAAACAAAAAAATAATATAAAACAACATTTTTTTTGTAAGAAGTCGTTTAATTTTAGAAACGATTCTAGTAATCGCACGAAACTTATTCATCATCGTTATCTTTCGTACTTAGATAATAATTAAGAAGATCCTAGTAAAATCTGGTCTTTGAATCTGACCTCTTTTCCACGTTCTATATTTTTGTCATGTAATGTGATTATTTTGATATGATCATGCGTCATAGAACACACGCTCCATAAAACAAAATGTGATAATATTTTAAATTCGATAACAATAAATAAGACAGAAACAAAAATAATCATGACGACGTCTAGTTACAGGAAGATCGCCTCAATGACAAAATTAAATTATCGGGTCATACATTTACTAATTTGTCTTCTCGTTCTTGCTTTGAAAATTTTAGATATTGGGTCTTTGTTGAAACATTATGATTTAATCATGAGTCATGATTTTTCCAATGTTGACACCTAGCGTTTTAAATACAACACTAGGACTATGTAATTGTTAAATAATACTACATGTAGTTAATAAATACATGTGTCGTCGTGTTCATGAGTTTGCCCACCTTTCCCCTTAGGAGACTGGTCTGGCCGTCGGGGACCAATACTATGAGAAACAAAATTATTTTTATAACAATGTATAATATTAATAAGTATTAATTATTTGTATGCAATTGAAATTGTTTTCAGCCCTTTCTTTAAATGAATTGCAGCTTGTCCAAATGGTTAAAAGTTATCGTTAGTTGGAATCACATATCTATATCTTCAACATTCTCAGAACTATATATATTCTAAAGTTTCAATTATTTTTGTTCCAAACGACAAAATTGACTCTTTAAACAAAGTCAGGAAGATTTTTGTAATGGCGATTGCAATCTTTCTAGTCAAAAGACACCAGCAAAATGATCAAAAGCAAATTTCAAGAAACTGCAATTCTAATGTAGGAAGCCTCGACTATTCTAGCTGTTTGAAGTGACCATAATGGCTAACAATGTACACGTTGATACAATTTTTCACACTACCAAATTTTATAAGGAATCATGATTTTACAAGTGATATATATATAATAACACATATGTAATTCACAGAGGGATGAAAGAAAATAGATGGTGTAGACACAACCGAATATTGATATCGCTTTGTTTGATTGGGTTTATATTATATATGATTAACAGAATTGCAAACCAAAGTAAACCAAATTAACAATTGCAAACCAAAGCAAACCAAAATAACTAGTAAAAGCGATTTTAACAGAATTGTGACTTTCTCCACTTCTCCTTCGCAGCCACGCTTATGTGTATTAATTTATACAATATGGGTAACCTAACTTGGTTGGAAAGTACCAAAAAATATGGCTAAACCAATAAAACGTTCCACGTCGACGTTCTTAGTTAAGTCCCTCAACAGTATTATTTTTGGTTGACGAATCATATTCCACCACCACCATTATTATCAATCTTCTTCTCCCACCCGTTTCTGTTTTCAGACCATTCACAAATATTTATACATAATAAAAAAACTTAAAGTTGAACTATTCCGCCATTTTACTGTTTCAGTTGATTAAATAAATGTCAAATCATTGTAACAAAACGATGTGGTGTTAATAAAAAAAAAAAGAATAAATTACGGATTTTGTCCTTTTTCATAAGGGCATTTGTGGATTTTGCCCTTTTTTGAATAGTTTATGCATTTTGCCCTTTTTCATGCTCCAAAAATATGATTTAACATGCGTTTCACTCGTTATGTTTGGGTTTAGTCGATTCCATTTGTTCTTAGGGTTTAGTATTTGGTATAAAGTACGTATTTTTGGAAAAAAAAAATCCTAAATACATATATTTTTAAGTGTTAAAAAAGGGCAAAATCCGTAAACTATTCAAAAAAGGGCATTTTCGTAAGTTTTTCTCAAAAAAGAGCATTTTAAATAATAATCCCTAAAAAAAAAAACAAGTTTCAGAATGTGGAAGATAAGACGATAAAAGCAGAAAATTCAACGATGATTTAGTTTTTTTTTTTTTCGTCCAACGATGATTTAGTATGAAGTTTTTTTTAATTGATTAAAATGATGAAGTTTTTATTCCATTGCATGTTTTTTCAATTGTATAAATTCAAGTAATGATATTTATGCTTTTTTAACATATAGTAATCAATAAAAGCATATTATTAAAAAAATGCGGTACGGTGGAAATAAATAGATAGAAATCATTGGATAATTAAGTCCCAACACAATCTGGCCAGATCAAGAGAACCGAACCTAAAACAAGAAAGTGGATATCACAATCCGAAACCCAAAATAATAATACAAGAAAGGACAATATAAAAAGAAATTAGAAGAAATAATTTAAAAACCAATGTGTAATGTGAGGAAGTTTAAGATTGGTAGGCAAGCTGACATGTTACCCATATCTACCTTCTTCAAGCAAAGCATGGAGTGGGAGACAATTCATGTGGTCTCTTATTTAAAGTCCCCTATTAATTACTCTTTATTGAAACTTATTATGATATTGAAATAGATAATAAATAAACGTAAATTAGAAATTAATCTCCTACTTAGAGAAAGGTAGTAAAAGTATCATTTGATTATAAACTAAAACTTTATTTAAAGGAAGTCATCATGTGCTAGTAATTGTATTTCGCTGACTTGAATAGAATTTTGTGGATATCCCGAGTAACAAATTGAAACAAACAATTAAAACAATGTATAAATGGTAAACGATAGAAATAATTAAGTTTAATAGGAAATGTAAAACATCAATCCGGATATCGGAGGTTAAAAGTCATTGGCCACCGACGACAAATCAAAAGTTTTGGAGAGACTAAAATTTATTAGACTCATTTTTTTTATTGCATTTGTTTCAGTTAAATTATGTACTGTATAAAGATTAAACGGAGTTCGGTTGAATTTTTTTTGGTTTTCTAAAATCAATTTAATTTTCAAACTACACCATCAAAATAATATGACAAAAAATATATTCTAAGAGTATAAATTTGTATACAATAAATAAATATATTGAAAATTTATGAAGTGGGAATAATAGTTTCAAGTGGGGTGCTCATTTGGTCAACCTTTGTAAGTGAGAAAATTAAAAGGAGAGAGAATTTGTGCCATCATAATTTCCCACATTCTTTTTTCAAAAATTCCATTAAAAAAAAAACTAAGCAAAATAAATCCATTCTTTGATTAATTCTAATTATTAGCCACCCACCCACCCACCCATCAATTTTTTTTTTTTAAAAATACAAACATAAAAAAAAACCTCTCTTCTCCTTCTTAAGATGAAGCCTCTTGGTTTCATTTCGTCCCATAATCATCCAAACTTCACCAAAAGAAATTCTTAACAGAAAAAAAAAAAAAAAAACTTTTTTTCTTCATAGTATTACTTCTCAAGATCTTAAAGATTTGATTAATACGAAGAGAAAATTCAAATGGGTCTTGATGATTCATGCAACACAGGCCTTGTTCTTGGTTTAGGCCTCTCACCAACGCCTAATAATTACAATCATGCCATCAAGAAATCTTCCGCCATCGTAGACCACCGTCTCATCAGGCTCGATCCGTCGTTGACTCTAAGCCTCTCTGGTGAGAGTTACAAGACCAAGACTGCTGCCGGCGCCGGGGACCAAATCTGCCGGCAGACTTCGTCTCACAGCGGCATCTCATCTTTCTCGAGCGGAAGGGTAAAGAGAGAAAGAGAAATCTGCGGCGGCGACGGAGAAGAAGAGGCGGAGGAGACGACGGAGAGAGTGGTGTGTTCGAGAGTGAGTGATGATCACGACGATGAAGAAGGTGTTAGTGCTCGTAAAAAGCTTAGACTCACTAAACAACAATCTGCTGTTCTCGAAGATAGCTTCAAACTTCATAGCACCCTTAATCCCGTATGATATAATTAATTATTTCCTTAATTAAACTAATCAATCTCTTCTTATTTACCTTAATCATATCCTTACTATGAATTCACAGAAGCAAAAACAAAATCTTGCGAGACAGCTGAATCTAAGGCCTAGACAAGTTGAAGTGTGGTTCCAAAACAGGAGAGCTAGGTAATTTTAATTGATTACTTTATGAAATTTAAATAAATATAATATTTTCTTTCTTTATTTTGGATCATAATTAATTTATTTTTATTAAATTTGAATTTGGACAGGACAAAACTAAAGCAAACAGAAGTTGATTGTGAGTTTTTGAAGAAATGCTGTGAGACTTTAACGGATGAGAATAGAAGGCTTCAAAAAGAGCTTCAAGACCTTAAGGCTTTAAAATTGTCTCAACCTTTTTACATGCACATGCCGGCGGCGACTTTGACTATGTGCCCTTCTTGTGAGAGACTCGGCGGTGGTGGTGGAGGTGCCGGAGGAGTTGGCGGAGGTACGGCGGCGGTTGATGGAGAAACGGCGAAAGGAGCTTTCTCCATCGTCACAAAGCCTCGTTTCTATAACCCCTTCACTAATCCTTCTGCAGCATGTTAGTTATTATTTTTTTGGGATTTTTTTTTTGTTTCTTGAATCAAATTAGGAATTAGTTAGAAGATAAATCCCAGGGAAAAAGTATTACGTTCAAATTGGGGGAAAATGGGGTATAGTCTTTATAGATAAGACTCTTCAACGATTCCACTTTATTTTTCGGTGGGATTGTTGGTTGACGAAGCAAAAAAATAGTTTGTAATTACAGTTTTTAATTTGTAGAGAAAAAATGAAGAAGATAATAGTACTTACTAATCCATCTTCTTTTGTTTTTTTTCTTCAAATATGTATTATGGTGGTATAATTTTGCTTGTAAAAAACATAAATATTTATATTTAATAAATTTTGTACAAGTTTGTAATGATTTATCACGCCTCCTTAACAAATGATTGTTCATTCATGCGAGTATAATATTTATATAACATTTTCTACTGTCAAATGATAATTAAATATGGGTTCTCATTTTAGTTCACACTTTACAACGACGTAAACAACTAAACACTCCTTCCTTATTTTAAAGATTCTTTAAGCGTTCTTAGTCTGATTCTTAAACAGGAGGATTCCTGTATATATTTGTAAAAGTATCCACTACGATTTTATAATTTCAGAGTTTCTTTAATCAGCTAAGTCTCCATTATTCTGTAGTCTGTACTAATATCGTTCATTTAAATGAGACATTGGTGCCATGCCAACTTGGTTTTGTTTTCAACCGTCGAACCCAAAAATGGAAATATAATTGATTGATAAATTTCCCACCGATAAATTTCCCACTTAATAAAGTATAACTTATAACTAAATAGATGGAGAATCCTAAAACTTCACGAAGGTAAAAAGGTGTAAAAAAATAATGGTAAGTTAAAAGAATCTATTATACATCCAAATATATTTTATTCAAAAATTCACATTTTATTAGTTTTTTATTTATTTTTGTCTGACTTATCACATTTAGTTTTTTCTGACTTATCACATTTTTATTAGTTTTTTTTTAATTTATTTTTGATTATCCAAAAGAAAAAAAGAGAAGAAAAAACTGAAAAATCATTTGATGGGTGTGAATGATTTAAGTGAGAAAGATAAAGGGTGTGGGGCTAAGAGGTTAGCTCACGTGTATTGATACATCTCCTTAAACCTTTTTAATTTATCCAACCAATTATTATAATAAAAATTACAGGAAAATAAATTTAACAAAAAAAAGGCTATATAAAAAGCTATAAAACTGACAAATTTGAAGAACAAATACTCACCATGCAAAAACGTGTTCACATATGTAGTCAAATATTATCCAAAATAACAACAATAAACAAACAAAAATATCATCATCGTATTACAAAGCTTAGTTGCAAAGAAAAGAACTCTATTATTAAAAAAAAAAAAGAACTCTATTATTTACTAAAAAGATACGTTTGTGAAAAATATAAAAATGGAAATAAAAAACTAACAATAAATAATAATAAAAAGTTCTTGAAGATTTGAAGCAGTGAGATGCTATATCTTTAAGAGGTAAGGTGGGACATGCTTCACGTGATTTTCTCTTCATTTTTCTCCTCACGACCAAATTATAGATGTGTGGGATTTATTATATGACTCTTCATGTTATACCCATATGTGCTATACACGTATTTTCATGGTTTTAAATGAATACATGACAACGAGACGTATTAATTAACATATTTATGAAAATGACAGCGATAAATATTCATAAAGTAATTACGTGATTCATGAACACAGATATACTATACATAACCTGTTCATGAATCTTCCAATTTCAACACGTACATGCACAAGATATGGAGTACAAACTGTACAATTTAATTTAAAATTATGTTTTTGTTACTAGAATATCTTTACTCGAACCGTTCGCGACTAACATTAAATAAATCACTGAATTTCTAGGTTGGGTTAAAGGACGTCGAAGTCTCGAAGATATGGCGCTGAGATTTGATCACCACCAGTAATACTGTTTGCAGGCAACAGTAAATAGCGAGAATGAGAAAAGAAATTTTTTTTTATAATTTATAATCTTTTAGCAAATTTGAGAATAAAGAGTTTTCAGTTTTTTTTTTTTTTTTTTTTTTTTTTAGCAAATTTGAGAATAAAAAGTTTTCAGAGCTTTTTTTTTCAGCTAAACATGTAATCCAGTCAGGTCTAAAGTAATATGTATGTGGAAGAAGAAAAAAAGGGTGTCAGATTTAATTTGTTGCTTTTGTTCGAGAAAATATTATAAAATTAAATAGAATTTTTTTGTATAGAATGTAATGCATGCGTGATGATGGGGGATGGATGAGATGACGAGAGAGTCCACAAGAAAATCATAAGATCGGTGACCCTGAAATTATGGTGGTGGACCATTTAATGATGAGATGACTTTCCGGAGAAATCGGTGACTTTCTCGGAAACTCAATTCTAATCTCAGGGAATCATTCCCTTTTTTTTTTTTTTCCCTATATTTCTTTCGTTTACATTTGTTTAGTCCTGACGACAAAAAAAAAAAAAAAACCGTTTAGTCCAAATATAGTTTTATCCCATACTGCTAAATCCGGACTTAAGGGTGTTATTGATACTCCTTCAATAATAAAAAGAGGGGAAAAATAGAATAACTGGTTTGCACTCATGGGCCCATGGCAAATGGAAGAAAAATTATTTTACTTATATATCTACTCTTTAATATGTATACACAATATTTTCAATCAATTTTTCTTGCTGATTTTTATTTTTTCCCCTTCAGTTTTGCTGTCGATTGTTTTATGTGAACTAACTTTTTTTTGCTGTTATCTAATTAATAAATAAATATTCATTACGTGATCTACAACTTACATGCATAGTGGCGAGTGAAGGTTTATAATTGGATTAACAGAAAACATTATTTAATTGTAAGCATTTGACGAAGTCAAACTTAGAAGATTAGTATTCTCTTTCAAAAATGTACGTGGTCATTTGACCAAAAAAAATCGCTCAATCAAGCGAGTATAAAAGATTTTTTAATAGGCCGGTAAGATTATGATGAGACGTATTAAATCGGCCGCAATCGGTACGAAAATAGTTAAATGTATACGACGTCGGCGAATACGATATGTATTTTATTTATGAATATGAGTGTATATTAAAATTAGTATTCTTTGTCATTCTTAATTATTTTACTTATGTAGGTGACTAAATTATTTGGGTTGTTTCTTCTAATGATTGATACTTACTAGATTTGCTTTACGTGTGCACGAACGTAATTAGTGTATTAAGAACAGCAAAAAACATGTGTCAGTTGCTGGTTAAATTGTCGGTTTGTCGAATTCTTGTTCCCGACTTTTAATTTTTTAAACATACTGCTGCATTTTTTAATCACTAGGCATGAATTCGGTAGAAGGCTCCCAAAACAAATACTCTCTCTTCCTAAAATTAATGTTCTACCTTTTTATTTTGTTCCATAAAAATTGATTTTTTAGATTTTTGTTTCATTTTATTAATTAATATTAATAAATCGTAAATTTTAAGACGCAATGATTAACTGTTCTATATTACTATTAGTTCAAACTTATTAAAAAATATTTGATATAAAAAAGTAATTGACAAATAATTAAACAATAATTGTTTCTTAATATATGTGAAAATTTTAAAAGATCAAATCTTTAAAGAACAAAGGGAATAATAATTTTTTAACCTCGAATGATAATTCGTTTACTAAATTTGATATTAAAAACAAACATAAATTAACATAACAACTCTCGTGTCATAGCTAATCTTTCTACGCGTTATCTTACCAATATCAATATAATACTCTTTTCTGTTACAAAAAAAAAATAGTATATACACTTTTGCTTTACTTTTGTACTTTAATTTATTCATTACTTAATTTGATTTTGTCGACAATCTAGTAGTATATGTAACTTGTGATGGCCTTATGCAGTTGTACATATTTATTTCAGTCGGATCCAAAATCATTAGTCATCAACATATATAATTTAACTGCACAACATTTCTATTCTATGTACAATATTAATCAACTAAAAGGTAACTTGATACCTAACTATAAGGTTAATAAGAGGTTTAATTAAAGCTTTTAAGCTAATCAATGTTGATTGCTCAACACGTCTTGAGACGCACCATTGCGCGTGTTAGTTAATAAAGGTTGGTAGATAACCTTGAATATATTTCAGTAAACTATTTTTTTCCCCGAAAATTAACTTTAAATATATCATACGAGCAACTACATGGGTGCTCCAAAGTGTTTTTGTTCTACTAGATGAAAAATGTGTTCCAATTATGTAACAATTAGCCAATATATGATCGGGTTGACTATATATCTATCAACATAGAGCTAGTTTAAAAGCCTATCTATATATGCATTGTAGTTATTGTCCACGAAATGGGTTTAAATTTTTCAATAATAGAGGAAGAAAATGGGACTATTGAATAAATGGAACATAGCTAGGGTTGCTAGATGCGGCTCATAGCATGTGTTAACCTACAGTATCTTTAGTTTTTTAAGAAAACAGTAGTGTATGCCCATTTTGCTTCACTTGTCATGTACCATATTAAAGAACTTTGAACCTTTTTAAGTAACTGATTGATGCATATAATGTGGAGAACCATGTGATTTTGTTTCCCATCCTCCGGACTTTTTGTCAATTATATACGTTCTCTAGCTTTTTGTTGTTTTCTGTTAAAAGATGTATATTAGTTTTGGTAATTCATATATACTTTCTTACGTACATATATATTAAAGGACTAGTTGTTATATAACTTTAATTTAAGTTGAACATAATTAAAAAAAAAACATAGTTTACAAAATCAATTCACAACTTTCAATTAATTAAAAATAAACTTTAATATAAGATTGCATGCATTTAAGTGATCGTTTCATGTGACAAAATCTCTAAATAACAAGCGGGTCTTATGACTTTCATTTTCCATGGCATCACATGCTCTAGCTATTAATCATGTTCCAATTATTCTTTCCGGTAGACATCAAATTGACACGTGGAACATTCTCCTTTTGGTACAGGTGGATGTTCCTCTAATGATCACACCCTTCTAATAGAAAACTGGCTTTTCAGTCACATACATAGTTAGAAGATACATCTAAATTTTAACTAACGAAACTTGAGTACAAATATAATATATTTATATGAAAATCCTTTTCGAAAACAAAAGCATATAATGTTTACCGCAAAATCCCAGTCTGATAACGAAATCGATGATTCGTTTTGATCGGTAAGGAATAAATATAAAATTTAGTTTTTTTTTTTTTTTGCTATCATTTTAGATGTATTACGGTGTTATAAACTTATAATAAACAAATAATAGGTGTGTGTTAGTGTGCTTAAAACATACTATTCATTAAGAAATTGTGTTTGCAAATTTTGAAAATTT